CTGGAATAGGAAAAAGCCAACCTTATTCAAGAGACGAAGAAATTGTTGTTGATGAAGCCTATATATACTTCTGTTTACCTCCTGCAAGTTTTTGCTTTTGGTTTTGTTGATCTCTCTCCTCTCTTATCTCGTGTATATATATATGTTTCGCTTTCGGTGTCGAGGAGGCTGGAGAGCCTAAGGCATGAAGAGACTCTCTCCCGTAAAGAGACTTTAACCCCACGACGTCGTATCACTCCGTGCGGTTTCCTTAACAAAACCGACCTAATTCAGATGCTTACATAATAATTTACCGATCTAGGGACTTTTTAAAATGTAAACATGAAATTAGGATGTGGTCTTATTGATTGTATTCTCTTTTAAAAATATTTTAATTAATAATAATACTCACATAAATGAAATAGATTGTGGAAGGAAATTAAGCTATTTTCACTGACGTCTAATACAATGTTTCTAAAACTTAGCTTTATAGTAATCCTAAATATGTACACAGTAGTTTGTAAACCAATTTCTTAACTAAGTAAAATGGAGACTATCAATTGGTTTCTAAATTCTTTTTTATTTGATTTGTAAAGGGGACAAATATACACATACATACAGATTACAGAGAACGTGTATGTTACAAAAGCTACTCTGCTCTCTCTCTTCATTCATTCTATGGCTGTCTCCTCTGAGACAGAGGACACCACATCTGCATCGCTTTCATCAACGGCCAAGCTCGAGACTTCGCCGCTCAATGAGGAAACTTCGTCCTCTCCTGTGACCGATGGAGCAGGGGACGCGTCTGTGCTTGTGGTGGTGCTCTGAGTTGACGACGATTCCGAACTCCCCAATGAACGTTTCTGAAAACTCCAGTACATTATACTCGCCGTTAAGATTAGTATCATCTTCTGATTCACCTGCCACAACATCCCAAAACACACATCTCATCTCATCATCAACTCTGCTAATGCTGTTTCGGGTACAATACATTATAGATCTTGTTTCTTACCTCCATGATATCTTCAGGCAACAAGAAAACCGAACAACCGAGCTTTCTTGCGACGCTGACTATGTACGTAACATTCAACCTCTTCTCATCATCTGTATGTTTCAACCACCATAAGAGACAAATGGGCTTAAGTAAGGTAAACAGAGAGAAAGTAACTAGAGTCAGTCTAGTAGTGAACCTGTTTCACCCTTGGTGACAAGATTCCAGTTTACAACTCTTGGCTCAACCGCCCATAAAAGGTCGAGGAAGAATAACCCGGTCGATAAACTCTTGTCCTGAAGAATTTGAATTTGAATAACTAGAAGGTAATGGGTCGACATATTTTATGGAGAGTAATGAGATAACTTCTTGAAGTTGATATAAATAAAGGAACCTTGAAGCTCTCGATATGCGATTTTCGCCCCATGGTTCTTATTTTCCTGTTGGCCCAGCTGAGGATATCTGCATCAGTCATCTCTTTACCTTGTGTCCGAGATCTGAGACTCTTGAGAAGTTGGAGCATGTGGAACCTCATCAACTGCCATAAGAGACCTGAGATATATAACCATATCTCTAGTTTGTAAGGTGATCATGTTCTTGCATCAAGCTAAAAAGAATAACCGAAACATTGGCTCGCGGGTAATGATTACCAAGAATGAGCTTCTTATTCCCTTGAACTATGTCATTTCCAGCTACATTTACGAGTGAGAATTTCAGCTCTTTCCCAATCTTTACGACTTGATTGCAGTTCTCTACTTTTCTAAATGGCATCTTAATTGGCGGTTTGGAAGCATGCTTCCAGTTGACTGAGCTGGGAGAGACCTTGTCAAGAACTTCCAGAAGAATCCATCTGCATCAAATTAGTAAATAGAACCAATGAAAGGTTTCAGAATTTTTCTTTCAAATCGCAACATTTTCAACTACAAATACAACTTCAACAGATTGGTTGCTTTACTTTAAAGCTTACCCATTTCTAACATCTTCAAACACATTATTGACATAACTTTCAATCCCGAGGCTGTTGATCCATAGACGATAACATCGTTCATCTCTACAAGTCTGTACATCTTCGGTCATCATCTCCGCAAATGAATACTTACCATCCGTGCTTAGACCATTCCTGGAACAGGTACGCAGAGCTACAGTCAGATCCACGCCATAGTGAACAGAACGATTGAAATAAGAAGTGCAAAATCTCCAGGTAAAAGGATTTCAGGTAAGAAACACTTGAAGCATTGATAATAGGATTTTATATGAAACCACCCATTATTTTTTCCATTAACATTCTCATGTTTGTTTTTCCAGATAACTTACAACAGGGGACGTTTTTTAGTAAACCATCACCAGCTGAATCAAACAGAACTATGAAACTTTTGGACAGATGAAGATACAAAATTGACAATACAAACCTTTCATGGAATATTTGTGCCACAAATGCGAGATTCAAAGTTGGAGACCCTTCGACGATCTCTTCTGCAGTCAAGTATCGCTTGCAATTCATTCTCTCTGCATGATTGAGAACTAGTTCAGCCCTTTCAAGAGGATCCTTTGCATCTAGTGTAGCCGGGTCACAATGTTCAGGTGCGAGAACATTGAGCAGGTAAGCATAGGCTTGTGCATCCTGCAGATTTACCAGATACACACTTTATCATAGAAAAGAACTTGATGAGGTTCCACGAATTGATGAAATTACCAAAACCTTGAGTGAGATAAGAATTTCAGTTTCTTTTATGACTTATAGTTCACATTATATCTCTTATCCAAGAACTGATATTGCTTCTCCATGTTTGAAGGAACAGTAGCACGTAAGTACAGTCTTGAATCATAAGTAAAGATTTTAGATAAGTAAAAGAAAGAGGTTTCCTCCAAGTTGTACTCTGAGAAGCCAAAATACCTTCAAATCAGAAGAAAAGTTTGAGACGGTTTTCTTGTAACCCCCTTTCTTAAGATGGAAGTTCATCCATTTCAGTAAGACTTTCTCAGGGGGTAATCTCAGTAACTCCTCAACATCCTGCAACAGAGAGAAACTTCTTACCACTTATAATTTACAAGGCGCATAGCATATACTTGGGTGACAATGTGATTGGTTGCTGAATTACATCGCTATCCTCAACCAACTCAACAAGCTGAGGCGTCTTCTTTAAATTGAGATCAGCAAGCAGTTGAATCTGCAGTTACAAACATTGTTTTAGTTAATGATCGAACATAAAAAAGAAAAGTCAGATACGCAGAGCGGACAAGTGGATGAGTGCAGACCTTTATGAGTTGTGAAATCAATCCAAGCACCAGGTGTGGCTGCAAAACATCATAAAACCTCCATGGTCAGAACGATGCATATCCATCTTAGGCAATAAGATTGATATGTCTTGAACTTTTTTTCAAATGTACACTGAACATACCCGTGCTTCGGCCAGGTCCTGTGTCCCGATATTAACAACAGTGCATCCAACAGCTTTGGCAGAGTTGAGACAAAGAGTGTGATTCTCATTTCTCTCCCACGGATTAAGTACCCTCTTGGTGTTAATCGCTCGTTCATCTATTGTCCCTGGAACTGCTACATTTATGAGCTTACTACACCGGAAGAGAAGCGAGTCAGAGGCAGAAATCAGATGCATTTTTGGCGTCGAGATGGATTCCAAACGTATGAGAATGTGCACCTTACCATAGAAGTACACCATCTTTAACAAGTTCATACAAGTCATTAGAATCTGGATCAAGAGGAAGGAACTGCTTCAAGAAGGGGTCATCCCCAAGATATCTGTTGATGTGTTGAACAAAAGAACCCTTCTCCGACTGGCTTATAGTGTGAAGAAGCGTGGTTGTACTAGCTTTAAGAAAGGAGGATGAGTTCTTATGATTGCCAGATTTCTCAGCTGCTTTACCTTGTAAGTTGAGATATATCTGCACAGTAGGATCAATCCCAAAACCACATTATATTCACATTCATGCTCGATCCAAACCCGAAGAAGCTTCCACATACCTTGAGAAACTCTTCAAAACCCACATCACTGCTTGTATCAGAGCCTAATTCTCTTAAAATCTCTCTGATTTCGTCCTCCTTAAACGTTGCAGTAAGTGCCTTGAGTTTTGCCAATAGAGGAGGGAGATCTTCTATGGTGATTTTTCCTCCACTCTGATTCTTCAACGATACAAACTACACCACAAATCAAACGAGCTTAAATTCATCCATCGCCTAGATTGCGTCCATGTAAGTGAAAAGGAAGAAACCTTGGAATTGAGAGTGCGAAGTTCGAATTGCGTGAACTGGCTCTGCAACCATGGATCCGAAACCACAACACCCACGAATCCAGACATGTCCTCTTTTACCATTCACGACAACAAATCCAGAAAACCCTTTGATTATGAAATTCCCTCAAAGCATATGTTCTCGCTTCTCCCTGAAAACGGAATCAGTGTAAGAAGCTTGGGGGAAAATTGTGGCCAAGG